TAGAAATATGATCAGTAGAAAAGTAAAATCCATTACAATATTACATATAAGCTAGAAATCGAAATTTATGTTCTAGAAAAAAAACCTATATGGATTTCAACGAACACTAATATAAAAATCGAATCCTGGCACATCTAACAAGGTCGGTGTATATAAAATATGTTTTTTTAACATGCAATAAACATTTTTTGCCATTGCCGAGCCATATTTATGGGAAGCTTTCCTTATTACGATGATAACGACCGAGCACGCCTATGAGAAGCCACATAACAAACAAAGAAGCCAGTTAGAAGATAGTTGCACGTTGCATCTAATACAAATGTTGCAAAAACCAAAAAAATTGCAAAATGTAATATAAGTGTACAGATTTTGAAAAAAAACTGATTCGATATTACCTACATTTTTCAGTGAACTACTAGATCTATACATATTTAGTTCAATCTAGCATTTTCTGAAATCCAACTCTCAAATGAGTAGGTGTAGTAACTTTTTAAATTAAATTTCTCGAAATAAGCAAATGCTCAACATTTTGAACAACTATAAACTTAAAAAAATTGATAACTTAGTACATAATCATTTATTCTATGGATTTTTTTTTTCTCGTGAAGGAAGCAATATACGAAAGGTGAAATTCAGGAAACAGGGAAATTATCTTTTTAGTTGATTTAGGGAAAAAAAGCTTCATAATTGCAACAAAACTACCGAATGCATTTTTTCCATACCGATTCATTAAAATCGCCTGAAGCGTTTTTCACACAGATATTAATAAAAACCATTTTTTTATTTCATTTTCTCTACATCTCGAAAACACTGTTTTCGGGCAGATGTTTATAGAACAAGAAAACTTATTTTGCTGTCCTCTCCCATCCCTACAAGTTTGTCGGTATTTTTATAAAACGCCCTGTATATAGAACTACTGTTCGCCTTTTCCCTTCATTTATGAAATTGCATTATTTGCTTTTGAAACGTTTTATGTCTACAACATGGGGAGTTTGTACAAAGGTGATTATTATGAAATGCAAAAGTTGTTCTTTCGACTACAAAAGTATCAAAACAATTTTTAACTTTTGTTCTTGGAGAGAAGGTCTGAAGAAGAGAGAATATGGTAGGCCGGTGGTTAAACCACTAAGGGCCATCTGACATTGCGGGATCTCCCCTTTCCCCCGGAGATTTTAGTTTAAAGGTTTTAACCTTTTAAGTTTAATAGTCGACCATAGAAAAATCATTATTTGATGTTGTATTTTTGGAATGCTACTCTAAAAATAAACTAGCGACATTTAGTAATTCAGTGTACTATCAAACTTAGAGATACGCTTCGTCGAATGTGTAGCGGTGACAAAAAATCTAATAAAACTGTATTGATTTGAAACTTCCTTGTGGAAACATTAACAACTACTGGAATGAAAATGTATGGTAGTTTTCTTAGGTTCGGCCCAAGATCCCTTTCTTCTATTACTCTAAAATCGTTTGTCCATTGAAGCCATTTTTAAATTCAAATTACTTTTAACTTTCGTTAATTTATTTGCAGCCGCAAATGTTCATAAAGGATTAATTTATAATTAAAATATATTAGTAAAGTCAAAAGTGATATAATATGATGAAATGAAATATCAAATATATAATAATGAATGAAACCCTATATTGGGCGCCTACAACTACTTATGACAAATGCATATAGCCAAGAAATCAGAATAGACCTATATCTTTCTCAAATATTATTAAGGATGAGAAAACTGACACCCGCGGGAACAAGTTTTAAATGAATCGTTAAGAGTCTTCCTTCATTCCTGGAATTTGCTCTCCCGAAAAAGTTCTGGAAGAATCAAAAACAAGGGATGCTTTCCTTGTTTTGGGTCACTTTCTTTGAGCTCTAGACTGAAAATAGTTTGAAAAATTCCTCTCTCAGAACATGCCTATCTCGACTATGAACGCGCGATGTGAAAACTGAAATTTTTGCTATGCAACTTTAGATTTTTCTATGATAGCATTCGACGGCTCAGACGTTGAGTTTATAAATTTACTCAATACTTTAAACGAATTAGAGGACTTTATTGTGAAAGGCTGCGCTCATTGCAAGAAACACAGTGATAGCCTGTAAAATATATGAACAATATCCTGGCCCAAATTTCTGAGCTGAAAACTTGATGTATCCCAATTTTTGAATTCAAAACCGTGCCGTTTCCGAAATATAGCACTTCAAAGTTAAGATAAGAAACCGAAAAATGGATTATTTTATTTTCGCGTATAGGAAAAAAATTGGGTTTCTTGGTACAAGCCACTACAGGCATTCATTCTTGATTTATTTGAAGTTTAAAGTTTGCGGTATTCGTAGAGAAGTAATAGTCAATTACCTCGTAAACTATTTGAAAATGCAATTTCAACCAATACTATAATCCCCGTTAATGCATTTTGACTTTTTACGGATGATTAATCTTTGTAAGGTTGTTAGAGGAGATCACTTCGAACATTTACTAAAAGCCAACGATTAAAAAAGTTATAGTTATTTGTTGAGTGCACGATTTGTACGTAACTGCGTTCATTAAATAGTTTACGAGGTACTAAACTGTACGAATTGTTACTTCCCTATAGATGCGGCGACTGCAAACTACAAAATCGAGAAGAATCATCTGTAGAAACCACCATGATACTTTTTCTTTGTAAAAAAATGTACCCAAACGGAAATCTCGTAGTTAATAATTGTCATAATTAGGAGATAAACAAATATACCGACTTTAAAGAAAATTTGCGTATGTCTGACCGCGCTCCCTTCAATGTGCATAGAAGAGGTTGAGGAATTCCAATATGTCGACCCAAAAAAGTTGGACAAAGTTTCGTTCATCTAGTAGCTTTATGTACAAAATAAATATTGTATAATTTTTAAACCTTTACTGTGTATATTGTCCAACTAGAACGTATTTGCGCATATTGCACCCCATAAGAATGATAATTCTAGTAGTTTTCGGATATGGTGAACCTGAATAATGCATGAAAACATGGTCAGGATGGTCGGAGTTCAATCTAAGAAAAAATATGCACAATCATAACTTTCGACTATTTTCTGCATCATTTCTTTAATTGAAGTAAGAGTATCTACAGCTTTATCGTTAAACTCGCTCCCGTTGGTATCCTCATCGTTACTTTCTTTCAACGGAAAGTCCAAGCGGCACATACTGAACAAATCGCACTAAAACTTATTACAAAAATAATCCCCAAATCCCACTGCATAATCCTTCAAAGCAATTCCTATACGATCGCACAAACATGACAAAAATACCTGAAAGACATACCTGATACAGTTACAGACAAAATGGAAAAACACCCCCACGACTGGACGATTACAGAACCCCTTTGTTGTCCCTTGTCTTTTCGGAACAACACTTACAAACACAACCGAACTAAACAGGAAAATAAATGCACAATAGTATATTAGATAGGAATAAGCTTAGATTGGTAGGTTTATAAGTTTTATTTTATATTTATTTATAAACTTTGTAACCTAGCAGACCACACACATGTAAATGCAAGGGCAGAAAACTGATTTGGTCTATAGCATTTTTCAAATTAATTAGAGATTATTATTATTTTGGCAAATCACAATATTTAAAGATGTTACATAAATATAATATTGACTGATTTGCAAGTAGTAGAAATGTGCATGCCGCATGCCTAGACACAAGCTTGTCGCCAATCCGAACAAAATTATGAAAATTATTGTCGGTTTCAGTAGGATCACTGGCTGTTTCTTGATACATTCATTTATTTATTGGAAACCCGTGATATGAATCAAACCCGTAAAATGTTGCATGTTTATAACAGCATGCAATGGTTTTGTTAGTATTTTTCTGGGAGGCTCGATGAATGAAGTTTATGGAATCTAAAAGCGTCGTGAAAATGTTCTTTTCACGTAGAATTGCTTCCAACATTTTAATTACTCTGACCGAATTACTTCTCGATTTATAAGTGCCCAACCAATTTCATAAAAATAATTTATTGTGTGCTGGAAAATTATCAACTAAAAATCAAAATGTAGTTTGTTTAGCTCTCAATGAAGAAGTTTGTCGGTAGGATTTTATGTGCGCAAACTTTACTGGTTGATTGGTATTTCACCGGTGGCTATTTATTTATTTTTTCTAATGTACGACTGGCCAATTTTCCAACGATCTTAGTTTTTATGTCCCAGATATATAAAGCGATTATTCTGGCCTAAGGCGATGCGAGCGTGACCGCGGCGCATTCACAATGTACCGAAAGCTCAAGTGAGGAGATTTTTCTTCAGACGCTCAATCCAACTTCTAGAATACCCAAACTTTTGTTTTTTAATTTTAGTACCCATTTGACTAGTTTTTTCTTGAAGAATGTGGGCGTTTTGGGGAAGATTTCTCTGTTTTTTCTGAGTTAACCACTGCAAAAGTCCCTTATCTTTATGAGCTGTTTTCTGCAAGCTTTAGCAGTGAACGTTAATTTGATGAATCAAATCTTCGCGGTTTTTTCCCAATGCTTGAAACCGTCGATTTATGACAATTCTTTATTTGGCAAACATCACTCTGTTTTTAAGCGTTTTTAATTTTTTTCGCGAATTTCGAATTTCTGTTTTATCGCTAGATTTTTATAAAGATATTTGCATTTTGAATTTCCTGAAAGATCACTACACATTATTACCGATGTTAAGTTGGGCCACACTTCGGCCCGATTTGACTTGCTAATAATCCGGGGAAATACCCGAAAAGTATACTATAAGCGAGATAATTTAACATAAGTAATACAAGCTTGGTTAATTTTATGTTCATTATGAACGAATTCAGTAAATCCGATAAAGCATTGTATTGTCTGATAACGAAAAATCACGTAAATTGTTTACAAATTGCAAAGTTGTTAAATCCTTTACAAAATGTTTCACGTAGTTTGTTATATTCGTTAACAGCCATTCCAACGAGTAAATTGAGGCAATATTGTCATTCATAAATGTTATAATTAAATTATTATAATGTTAATTGTTACAGGACAAGTGCGCTCATTTCGCGGCGGAACGACATGAGCATATTTGGTTGTTTATTTCCGTGTGCCCCTCAGCCCGGCTGGAGAGAAGGCTTAGAGAGTGAGCGCTGCATGTCAGAGCGAATGGGGGCCAGTGCGTCGGCATCGCAAGGAGCCGAAGGGGCTGCAGGATTGGATTTGAGTCAGAATTTACCAGGTTTTGAGCCACCCGCTCCCCGTGAAAAAAAGAAACGTGTTACTGGATTTGCAACTCTTAAAAAGAAATTTATCCGCAGGCGCAGGTAAATGAGTAGCAGAATTCATACTATAGACAAATTTAAACAATTACATTAAAATCAATTGAGTCAAAATACTGAAGAAGTTCTTTTATTTCAGGTCTTCGAAAGCTTGCGACCATGGCAGAATATTACGTGAGCTAGTATCTGATTGGAGTCCTGTCGAAGTTGCAGCTCTTCTTGAGGAATATGATGCTCTCCAAGCACTTAAAGATCTCTGTGTACAAGCTGAACTCGCTAGACCACCTGCCGCTACATTTAAGCAAGACTTATCATCACTTTATGATTTTAAATATTGTACTGACGCAGATTTAGTATATCGGGGAGCTTGCTTTCCGATTCATAGAGCTCTGGTTTCGGCCAGGTGCCCTTATTTTAGAGACTTATTAGCTGGTTGTCCTGGATATGGTGCGCGGATCTGTTTGGATCTCCGTTCACCTTCTGTTGATGTGCAGTTGTTTTCAGCCTTGCTTAGATACTTATATACTGGTAAGTTACACTTATATATTGTGGTCGTTTTGCCTTAATTCAAATTTCAACTACTGCAAAAACTAGTGCCATTCTCGGAAAAATAATTTCGTCTTTATTCCTTGGTGTCCCTTAGTAATATGGTGTTGTATGTCTCACTTTTAACAGCCGATAACTATTTCTTTTGCGCTAAAACATTTATATATTTTTAATACGGCCACCTAAGTCATATTTGAATGACCCTGTTTAGTTCCTTCATCTAAGGAGGATATACTGAAAGCAATACTCCAAATGTAAATGATCTCTATTGGCGGGAGCTTTTCTAGTATTATTATATACATACATTTAAGTATGGCGTTACTGGAGAAATACTATGTGAGGTTGCTTCATGTTCTTGCCGCACTAAATTGCTTCGTATCGCAAAGAAGTTTGCAAAATTAATGGCAGCTAAAATCCCACCAAGACTAGGTGTTGTGATGTGGAAAATGTTATAAAACACATGAAAACCATAAAGAAGCTGAAAATAAATATTGCGTTTTAATTAAATACATATCTCTATTACGCGGTGGCCTGCCATAACCGGGAATTTTTTGTGGAGCTGTGACTGTTCGCTTATCGTTCGAGTTTTCACTGTTTTCGGTTTTTTGACTGAATGCTCGGACTCAAAAAATAAAACTGGTCGGCTTTTAAAAGTGAGACAAATACAGTCACAATAATTGATTTAAACATTTAATTTGTAGGTGATATTTGCCATCATAATGGCAGCATAGACTTGAATCTCCTCAGAAGACTGCGGGAAGAATTTGGTTCTCCCAATCCCTTAGAAGACGATTTGCGATACCTTTTAGATTCCGGTGACCACGCTGACGCAGCCCTGGTCTTCACTGAAGGCGCGGACGGACTTTTAGGGCCCAGGCCAGACTCAGCTGGATCAGAATATGGATTCAGACCTCGATTGGAACTTCCATGTCATAGAGCTGTGTTGGCTGCTCGGTCGCCTTTCTTTAGATCACTCTTAGCGCGGCGGGCACGGATTCAGGAAGAAAGGCAACCAACGCGGATTGTATTAGATGAAGGCGTCATCCCCAAAAGATATGCCAGAGTTTTACTTCATGCCGTTTATCTGGATCAGGTATGGATTATATTAGAATAATTTCAAGCAGTTGATCAATAATCCATTTTGTTTAGGTTGACTTGAATCTAATTTCCCGCGGAGGTTGTGGCGGGGGATTGGGAGAAGCGCAAGCTCTGGCACACACAGGAAGAGCCAGGCCTTCACCCTTAGAAGAAGCTATGGAATTGTATCAAATAGGACGGTTTTTAGAACTGGATATATTAGCTCAAGGTTGTGAGGACTTGATATTAGAAGCATTGTCACTAGATACTCTACCGTCAGTATTGCAGTGGTCGCGCCAGCCTTATGGATCTGCTTGGGTTCATAGACAGGTCAGTGTTGTTTTGTGTGGCATAGCGAAATAATTGTACACTTCTGGTAAAAACTATGCTTCCCTGATTGTTTTGACCTGACGTGCGTTTCAGTAGATAGCTACCACTTTCGGAGGAAGATTCAAACTTTTGTAGGATATTCCAAACCTAAGGAATGTACAGGGTGGCCCATTTCCGACATGGTATCCTGGTAATTGTTAGTTCTATCAATAAAGTGGTATTGCTGTCATATGCTCTTTTTAGACCAAACGACATGGTAAAATCAAAATTTGAAAATGCACGGTCGCTTAAGAAGTACAGGGAAAAATCTAAAAGTTGTCAATTTCAAAATGACCTTGTATGTATTTTCCTAGATTAAAGAGATCCAAAAAAATGTTTTACAGAAAAGGTTCTTTATAATGATTGCTGAATGCCATTTTCAGAATAAGTATACGGGGGCAGGTAAAAAACTTATCGGACCTAAACTAGGACATGAAACAAAAATAAATTTGTCACTGGTTTTTAAATAAGTCTGACGAGGGTCGTTCTTTGCATGAAAATTAATTTGGTCAGATGAATGTTCAATTACAAGTTGAGCAATTCTTAATCAACATACTGTAACAATGGAGTCAGAGTTGAACAACAATTCAGTACTTCTGATTGAAACCGTATTTGATCACAACAATCTAACCCAGTCGGATTAGATTTTTTCCGGGAACTAAATAGATTTTGTCTTATATTGTAAGTATCTTCAATACTTGAAAAAAAGTATTAAACTTTTTTTCAATAACATCACCGGATCAAAAGTTATGCCCAAAAAAACGGGTTTTCGCACTTTCTTTAATTATTTAAACAATGTTCCACAGCCGGAAATCGCGCTCAAACTATTGTCCCAATATTCTGACATCTTTCCGAACAACTTCCAATACTCTTTTATTTTCATCTATGTAGTGCCTAGTCCTAAGTATTTGTTGATACCGACTGAACGTGGATTTTTTTTGTTATTTAAGGGCCCTACTTCAGTATGCACGATTAGCCGTATTCTAATTATGTTTCATTTACCTATTTGCGTAATTTTAAAATTAATTTATCGGAGAATACGCTTACTATTTTTGTTATATTAATTTTTTTGCGCTGAAATTGCTTATTACGTCCTGTACTAAGCTACTGATTCCTTTCAGGCATTACATTTTTTACGAGAGGAATTCCAGCCGGTTGCTCAATCCCCTGTGCTGCACCAACTAGACAAAGAACATATAATAGAAGTGTTGAAAAGTCCGTTCCTGCAAGCAAGTGAGCTTGAAGTTCTACAAGCTGTTTTGAAATGGGGGGAACACGAACTAATCCGCAGAATGGAAGATAGAGGTGAGTTACTATCCATTAACGATTCATTTTCGTTCGAACTCATTTAGTTGAATACTCTATTTTCATTGATATCAGGAATGTTTTCAGAGCCTAATGTAGTTAGTCACACAGCTCATTCTGTGACAAGGAAAGGGGTCAAGAAAAGAGACTTAAGTGACATCGAGTTGAGAGAAATCTTATCAGATTTGCTGCCCTGGGTTCGTATGGATCATGTGCTGCCACCAAATAGCGAAGTACTTCTTCAAGCCATTCGGCGTGGCCTAGTAAGTACTCCTCCTAGTCATATGATTGGCGGAGAACGTGAAAACTTACGTGTTAATGCGTGGATTCGCGGTTCTAAAATGAACGGGCTATTTGTTCAACCCCGATTGTTTATTCCTTACTACGACGAGTTAAAGGTACTGGTTGAAGATCAGTTGGTACAAGAAGCAGAAATATTGCGTGGAAGGCGTGCTCGTTGTGGTCCGGATCCCGATATTTCGTATATGACTGATATTCGAGGTGGCCCGTCTGGAGTGGATGTTTTATCTAGTGCTCCTCCAGTGCCTGATGCTGCCGCATTAAATACTATGCTAAAACGTGAGCAAAAGTTACGTCAGGCACCCGGGTGCCAACTGGCGTTGAGTATGCCTCTCGGTTCTCGAGCTGAGATTGGTCGGCAGATTCGTTTGCGAGTGGTACGCGAATTCAACCTACCTGATAATGTGGCGGAAGCATTGGAAGCCTACCGCATTGGTACACTTACTGAAGAAAACTCGACTGCAGGCCGCCGCAGCCCCGCTAGGCGCCGGCTTGTCACTCCGCCGAGGCGCCTTGCAGAGCCGCCTGATGGTCGCTTACCTGACGTGGCCATGGCTCCGTCCACTTTGGGACCCCCACCAGCGCCTTCCGAATTACGCTTAGACTTAGGTGATGGGCCACCCCCTCGTGCTACCCTTCGTGCAGCTTATCGGTTATGTCCTCCAGGACCGCCATTTGCCCCCCCTGCGCCTGTACCTCGTTTTTTATAGAACCCATTCATTATACTTGCAGTTTCTCTTCGTGTTTCTTCAAATATTGGCGTCAAATGTTCAAATAAATCAAAATTGTCTTATAGTTGAGTGGAAGTGCGGATGTCTTGCAGACAAAAAACTGTACATTTCTTCCAATTATTTATGTTAAATGCTTACCTCTCTTCGACCTTATGTTCTGTATATATCTCAAGCATACTATTGTTTGTTATAGTAAATCTGTGATTCTCGAAAAAGTCATAATTATAATTGGCATATTTATGTCTCTGATTATATGTTGTTATTCCATCTTAAGGATTTGTATTGTGTGTGGACCAAGAATTTGCTAAAATGTAGCCTAAATTATACTAAAAATTGTTTATTTGTCCAGTTTAATCTCTTAAATTGTATGTCAAGGTTTATGCAGCTGTTATAGTACTTAATATTGTTACTTAAACATGTTGTCACTATGTTAGGCTCCATTCGGTCATTTCGTCTGCCATGGCTACAATTTTATTTTAATGTAGAGCGTAAATGTTACTAAAATATTCTCTCAGTAAATCATTGGCGTTAAGACCTCCATATATTAACTGAGGTGACGTATAAAATCTGTATTAATGTACCTGTGTCTGTTTTAGATGTTGCTGTATTCCTGTTAATATATAAATATAATATTCGTCATACAGGTTTTATGGTTGTGAAAACAACAATATTGTCTGTAATCGCTATTGTCTTCGGGTTTTTTTCCTGAACGTCTTAAAACTTGTAAGCACTACAGAGTCATTCAAATTTGGAGTCATTCTTCAGGGGGTTATCTAAGAGTATTGAAGCAGTAAAGAAAATCTAGTAAAAATGTAATCTCATTGCAAACTGAAATATTTACAAAAAAAGCAATCATAAATTAGACTAGGTACAATGTTCCCGAATCAGATATACGACGTTTTCCGCACTGGTACACACGCAAATCAGCAAAGGTAAATAACAGTAAAACTTTGGAAGACATGATGCCTACAGACACTATGTACCCGCACATAAAGTTAAAACCACCAGTAAACATTCAAGCAAGCGCTCGGTGCAAATTTCTTTGAAATGTATTGAAAACCGCCAGCCCCATGGATAGCGTGTGTTGTATCTGACGAAAATATTTGTGAGCTTCTTTGTGCTACACATCAATAACAATGTCTACAAATACAACGTACAACATAAATATTTATTGATGTCTACGCATAACAAAGTCACTTCATAACAAACTTCCTCTGATTCAGTGTTGATATTTAAATCTAATAGTCAAGTTCTATGTTAAAACAAAAATTCGAGAAAATTGTACTTGGTGATATAAGACTAGGGATCTAGGCGTTAGAATTACTTGATTACATTATAAGTGACTTCACCAATTCAGTATCGGCCACTTAGACTTTCCCAAAAGGATCAATTTGCTTATTATACGCAAAATATTGATCTGTGGTGTTGAAAATTTGAACTTGATTTGGAAATTATTATAGATTTTGTGCTTGGAAGAGCGACATCGAACAAAGAAGAATTCATCTGAAAATGATGTTTTTCAAAAATGATCGGCCTGAATGCAGACGGCAACCAGTTCTGATTTCTTATCAAATATTTGTAGAATCATGATTTTTCAAAAATAAATGTTGCCTAAGTCGACGCATGTTTTGCATGGGTTTCTTTGTATTGTTAGCAGTAATTTGAGCAAACTAATCACTTAACAAATCATTATAGTTCATATTAGTTAAAAGTGCACCGGCGAGAGCTAATATCGAGGAGAAATTCATAAAAAGGTATTTCAAACATTTTTCCGGGATTATCCAAGCACTCCACTAAAAAGAATGACGCCAATTTTGTTTTATTCTGGATTTAATTGTCATCTATTCTTTGGACACGTTACAACTGTAAACCCTGTATTTAATATAGACAGTGCCCATTAAGAAATGTGCGACATTCGTTTTTGTATTTGTACACTGCGCTTCAAATTACGCATCATTCTTTACTCAAATCAACAAATATTTTTAACAATTGCTATTTAATACTTTCCAATGAAACATTTTTTATATTAAATTCTATTTTTAAATTTTCCTACAATTTTAATCAAATTATACATTTCCCAATTATTCCTTTAAAAATCGAATTTGAACTAAATATCTATAATAGTTAATTACGTTTACTGCTATAACTGTTGGGGCCGTTTTCTGGATAGTACTGTCGTTTCTAAATTGAATAATTGTTTGAACCAGTAACATTAAATTTATTATATTACACAATAAATATCGGCCGTGTTGTTCAAAGCAGTGATCAATTATTTAGTGCAATATGTACTTATTCTTTTAAATTAGTGGTAATTGATTTGAATAATTCTGTTTTTTTTTTAAATCAAATCTCACTTGAATGGTGCATTTCATTTGTAATGCAATGTATATGGTGTGTCTCACGTTATAGAATGTATAACTCAGAAAATATTCATTTTGAAATGTTGAAATTTGGTCATTAAGATTTTCGACTACGTCGACTTATCACTGAGATCAACTCATTTTAGCTCCCATATTATGTTACGCGTATGTATTCTAAGTGCGAATTTGAAACTGGACAGTCTTGCTAGTACTCAACCACGCATATTGTAAAGTTGTACAGACATACCATATGTCTCAAAGTTTTGGCTTCAGTGTAATTGTAATAACAATCAGTAAGTTTGTAATTGTTCTGCTCTATTACTAAACGTATACTTACATCTAATACCAATTGTAGTTCAATTTTAGTTCGAATGTATGTTCTTTGTATGTAACTTCATTTATACACATTTTCTATTAATGTCGATTAAGGAAACTGCGAGAAAATCTTATATTTCTAAAACAATCTTTTCAAAAACTGCCGGGTTATGCATGGTTGCAACTTTTGGTTCTATTGTTAATTAGCCTCGAGTTGGTTTCATTTTAAGTTCGTTTACCCCTTCCGATAAAATATGAAAGGACTTATAATGACTATAGTCAGGAAGGAATAAAATGTCAAAACAGTTTTTCTAAGGCTTTAATAGTCTGCTTATTTATTTGATTTTGGTGATTTTTGTCGTTCCATGTTGAATTGAATAACGAAAGAAATGCTCATCTGCTGAATCATACTCATCACCGGTGTAATTTTATTTTTCAGATAAATAATTGCTTTTATGCGATTACGGGCTTATAATAATAGTTTCTTACTGATTTAATTTATTTTACAACATTCATAATGGTTCTGTACATGTGTGCGTGCTTTGCTTAACTTTCATTTTACTTTACGTCTCGTATTAGATGTGTAATCCAATTGCACTTTTCGCCGTTTTATTATTTTTATTAATAAACTTCTGTGTTAAATTAACGCATCAAAAAAATATCGTAAAATTTTCCCATTATGGCCTTTATTTTTTTTAAGTTTTAAATCATACAATCTATGTAATATTATAATGAAATCTGAAAAAAAAATCAATTAACGAACAGAAATAAACAGTAACATGAAATGTGTAGGTCCTCCTCTAGCTCATTACTGCTACCATTCGTCTGGGCATGCTGCTAATCAAAATTTGAATGGTGAATTCGATAAGAAGAGTTTTCTGAGAGTCACGGGATTAGGTATGTGGCGCCTAACTGATCGTTCAAGAAATAATGAGAAGTTATGATGATGCGTTAATTTTGTACAGGAGTGTATATTTTACCGTGTTATTTTTAAGATATTTCCGGACAAGACACCGTCTTTGGAAGTTCATTCTGCCTGTCCCATCTGTAGTAAACTGTTTTCCAAATATTTCAACAAATGCGTTGCAGCACTTTTGAGATCCTACACATGCCACATGTAATGTAAATGCATCATCGTACTGGATCTTTTACCTTTACCCCACAATTGAATGGACTGCCAATTTCCTAAATCGACATTATATGGTCAAAACGTAATTTTTTGACTTTGCCTAATTTATCAAGGATAAAAACGACCGTTTGTTGTAAATAATGTTTTGTATTCTAATGTAGTACTAAAAGGGTAAAACTTTGTTTATAAATTCTAAACACTGCATTTTATTCCACAAAGTTAGTTTATCGTGAAATTAATGTAAACGTCCTATTAAATGAAAAGCCAAACATGTATCGAATAAAAGGGTGTGAGCAGCCGTGCTAACGAAATTTCAATCAGCTATACCAAATACTGTATTAAATCATTAAAAATTGTAGTCTTAATTAGGTGTACTTCAAATGAGATCTAATTGTCTCAAAATATCGTGTTTACTGAGTCCTGTACAGTGGTACTTGAAATGGGATAATCGAAAGCCCGCTCCAAAGTTAATTCAATTTATTTTCGAAAATTGTCTTTTCAGTCTAGACGTTTTAAAACTCATCACAATTGAGAGCCTGTATATACAGATTGTTTACTATAAGAATACTTTGTGCAATATAGTTTATTCCCTTTTTAAGCACTTACCTACCTGTTAGATGATTCCAAATTTCTAACTTCTGCGAATATTGCTTCCTTTTAGTTGAATACAATCCGAGGAGGTGATGGGTGACGAATGTGATATATCCAATAGAGTAAGACGACAAATTGTGTCAAATCGCCGTTTATTTCATTAATTGGATATGATAGTAGTAATAAGATAGCAAAAACGTCTTTTCAAAAATCTATTAACTCGACAGATTTTCAGGTGAATCAATCCATGTTATTACAATTGAATCTAACATTCTTGTTTAAGTTCTGAAAGCAAAACGTTATATTGACCTTTTTTCTTTTTAATCATCTATTGCAACGTTTTAATTTGACAAAAAAATATATCTAATTCTTTTATTGTAGCCAGTTGTTTACAAGTGTAGACTTTGCAGTATATTCTGATGTTTGTTCATTGTTAGTGGAGTAATCAGTAGCCACAATGACCCGAAAGTGTCTAATGCTAATAATTAAAAATACGAATACCGACTGATAATTTTATATGTGTGAAATTAAAGTATCAGATAGACAAATGTTTAATGTCCACGGAGAAACTCAGAAACACTTTGAAAAGCCAGTAACTTGTTTGTCTTAACATTAATTCAATAAGATTGTAAAGTGTCGAAATTATGCCGCTCGTCGAAAACTACAGTTTGTGCGGTCAATTGCATATGAAAGCAAGCGTTATTCTTGTATGAAACACCCTGTATATTGTCCCTGTTTCAAAAATACGCCACTTTCCTTTGCTGTTTCTCTTAATTCTGGGATGTTATTGAAAATACTCATGCTTTATGCAATGTTATTTATTTCCCCATAGTATGTTTTTTTGTATTACGTCCAACTACCTATGTTCTAGATACAATGATATATTAAAAGTGTGATTTTAACTGTTTCGCAGTTTAACCAACTTCACTATAATTCTATGGAATATGAAGGTTCATACCCAGGGATAGTACAAATGAAAACCCGATAATTCTTTTCAAATTTAAATACCTACTTTGGTTGTTTATTAATATTGTTTAGACTTAGAAAAACAATACTTAGAAAAATATAATTTACATTAGTTAAAATTTGGAAAGTTTTTGGTTAATTAGGAATAAAAAAAAAGTGATTCCAACAATCGCTTAAATTTGATGTAAAAGAGCCAAACAACAGTAACTGCAAATATAATTTTTACGCCCTTCCTTAATTTTGAACGGAATTAAGGAGGCAATATACAGGATATGATCGATAAAAATCAGTTTTTGCGCCGAACATATGTCCCGTGGACAGTAGACAAAACCTATTCTTCTCGCTCGACTCGCCTGGTTTTGTTTAATAAAGTTTTATAAAATTAAATACAAAATGGCAACCGTAAGATTCGTATAGTCTGTTATATTTGACAAAATTAAAATTATTTCGGGAGTAATTATTATTAATTAATAATGGTTATTTTGAAAATTGACTTATTTTCATCTACAAGTGAATTAGTTTAAATATTATTATATACATATTTTTCATTCATGTCAACATTATGATAAGATATCGAAATTGTAATTCAATAAATGGAGACGAATGTTTAGTAGTCTGTTGACTGTACGAATAGGACTAATTAAAGTAAATATCAACAAAAATACCCCTATAATTAAAAAAATTATCATTTTTGCATAGATTTAAAAATTGTAGTCCTTATGACACTTATTTCGAGGTAAATTGGAGACATGCGTCTGTGATAATACTATTAATGATACAGTACATTCGGTTTGCTGGTTTATCATTAAAATGTACACTTTTCGATTATATATTTCACCTGATCTAACAACTTCATAACTTATCAACACAATTCACAGTGTAGATGAATGAGTCAATAATTGTGCTAAAAAAACATGTTGTCATTGTCATAAGAAAATCGTAAATTTTTACTATAATACTGTGGATAATGTATGTGTAGGTATGTGCTGTTATTAAGTAGATGTTTTTTGATAAGGAATGTATAACAATATTTATCCGATGTGTTGAAAAACTTATGAAGCCGTGAGAAACATCCGAAACGTTAAAAATATGATCAATCAAAAATTAACTATTTTTAAAGTCTCACACATGAGATTCATAACATTACATTCACATATTAAAATGTTCTCAATTTCAATGTATTTTTTAAATTAAACAGGCAAGCATTGTTTTAAATTATGTACATTACGTTGAGTATTGCGGGGATCAATAATCTTAAAGACCAATAATTTTGTTTTTGAATATTTTCCTTAAATTTACCATAACTTAAGCTAATGTACTATTGTGCGGCGATTGTGGACAACAACGAAACAATATGCGAAGAAATAAGAATAGTTTCTTAATGTTCTGTAGTGCTCTTTTCATTAATTAGGTTCACGTTTTATCTGTGATTTTTGAAGTTTCGTTATCTTATTAGGATTGGGTCCCAGTCACCATTTTGTGATACGAATTGTAATATATCTTATTGTAATCTCTTCTTTTTTTCTCTATTTCCCTATTTACTTTTAAAATGACTATATATTTTAGTTAGTTTAGTTAGCCTACTTTTATTGCGTTTTACTAATACTGCAGTTGCATATTAGTAGAATTTTGTAGATGTAAATTTACAAATAGTAACTTTTCTATACTCAACATCACGTTGAATTAATATTGACTACTCATTATCGTTCAGAAATGCTCATACGCAGAACTTCGACTTTACGATCGGTATACAGATCGTTAATTCAATAATTTATAGTCTAGTTTGTAATAGAAATAGTGAACAACAATCATTATTTTTCAACTTTTTTGGTCCGATACTATCTTACTACTACTAATATTGCATAAATATTACTAGTAGTTTTGGTTTTCTGTTAATAAATCAAATGTTACTGACCCGATAAAATCGTGTATTAATAAAGGTTCCAGGAAAATTATAAACCTTCTTGATATGCTATTTGACTCAGTTTCTACAGTTCAATGAAGTATTGTGCCAAAGCCTTACTTAGGTCATAGCAAATTTAATTTTGCTTAAAAGCAGAAAATCTAAAATGTTTGTCAATGTTTTTATTCATAGTTATTTCCCAGTACTTATGCTTTATTAATGGTTTGCACTATGATCTTAATTTTCTTATTTGTAGGGAGTATCGATCCTGCGTAGGTAACTTAAAATAATTTCCGAATTACAGTAATCACTCGAACATTGTTACCACAAATTTAAGCCACGGCTAAGGGACACGATCTAAAATTGTTTAAAGTCGTGCAATATGTCTCAGTAGCCTAAAAGAATTACTTTGGTAAAAAAAGCTTGGTTCCAAGTTGACCAAGCAGGAGTTTTTAGATAATAAAAGCGGGAAATGGTATAATTATGCGGTAGTATCGCCGACGGCAAGACGTTTGCACATATTTTTCCAAACTTGCTAAGTGTTGAAATAAACCACCCCATTCAATTTTCGAAGCGCAGCTTTTGAAAATCCGTAACGACTTAATTGTCTTTTTTTTATAAACTCAAAAACATTAGCAGTTACCTAACTCAACAACAACAAATTGTAAATATATTAAAATTTTTAATTAAATAAACAAATAAAATGTTAATTATTGCCTAAAAAGTCTAGTTGCCTGCTATCAAATAATTTTAGTTTTCACCAAGACTTTGTTTTGAGACATCCTGTATACTCCGGTAATGTAGATCAAGACCATATTTCTATCGAAAATACTGCAATTTTTCCACTCAATATTGTCGTTATGTGTCGTTAACACAC